ATGCAGAAGGCTTTTCAGAGGGGTTGCCTGACCTCTGACTTCAAGCCTGTGGACTTAGTGGGAATCAGGCTCTGAGGATACTCACTGTAGAAGTAGATGGGATTGACACTCTGGCCTCTTGCAGCATTGCTAAGCACATTGTCAAATGCATGGCCGAAAAGAAGAAGTCCCTTAAAAGCCAAGCAAGTCATATGCTTTTTGGATATGGCATCAGTATCCCAACAGTGTAACCTAAGTGCTCTGCGCATCTGTATGGAATTCAGACCTATACGGAACATAAGCTTAGATGCTTTGCATCAAGCCATCGCAACTGAAGAGTAAGAGTGTTCCACACACTTCGTAAAACAGAAGTCTACCCCAGCAGTGGAAAGATCCCTTTTGAGGGATCTAACCCAGTCCAACACAATTTGACAGATTAAGGTCACGATCAACATAGGACAGAGGGCAGAACCAGCCAGATAAAGCTGGGATTTAAGGTGGGATTCTAGCTGCCTGTCAGTAGGATCCTTAAAAATAGGAACACCTACTCATCTAGCACATTGGGAATCGACCACCATTTAATACATTTCCTTTCAAAAGACAATAGTTCCAGCACACTCTTGGGTAGGGCCCTGGACCAATTAGGGTGCTTACAGTCCACATAGAGGAATACTTTGAATAGTAGGTGTAATGGGAAGTCCTTACAGCTGTAGGAGCTCTGAAAGATTCAAAGATGGAAACAACAGACTCCAACTGTAGGGCAGTACCATTGCATCCGAAATGACCCCTTCTAGTTCTGAGATGATACCAGGAGACTGCAGTGCCTCAAAAACAGAAAAACAGTCTCTTCAGATATGGACTCAAAATCTGAGACACAGATGCTCACAGGGACCAGTGGTCCGGCCTCTTCTAAGGACTCAGGAAGGTCAGAGATAGACTCTGCAGGGGAAGGTGCTGGAATGTGCATTTGAGGTTTTGCAGTCAGTATCCATGAGGTATCACGTGAGACACCCCACAAAATACTGAGTGGATTTGAAGGTCGCTGCTGACAGGGAAGGAAAACTCAGCCTCACCTGACGGAACTGAGGAAGACCCTGATGATGTAGACTCTATAATTATGGGGGTGCTTGGTTCCGGATAGCAGGCATTGATTCCCTCAGAGGATACCGAATCGATATCCCCAGAACCACCATGGGCTGGGGTCACCCATAGCAGCAGGGTTGCCCCCTTTGTGTCTATGTGCAGGCATGTGCCTAGGTAGGGGTAATGCAACAAGGCTCAAAGTGGGAGGCAAGGCCTCAAGTATGCACAAACCCAGGCCGCTGGTGCTGCTAAGGGTCAGGCATCTGGAGCTGACCATTTAACTGTATATGGGCAGTGGCAATGTACTGAAGATCCATGTAGAGTTATGAAAACAGGAGCAGCAGGAGGATTGTCCTTCGCGCCTATATTTTATTAGTACCTGAAGGCCTGGAAAACACCACAATGCACCACCCAGTGCCCGAAGTTCAAGTTGCAGGCTAGCCCCACACATCCAGTCCAGTGAAGTCCAGATTGAAGTCAATAGAATAACAAAATAGCCTAGAAATATTGGTTAGACTTTTCTCTGCAGAGCTTAAAAAAAGATGTCTATTTCTCCTGGGATACTAACAAAAAGCAAGGGCATCTTGCTTAGAGGAGCGCTTATACGGGGCCTAGCTCACAATTTTTGCCAGTGTTCAATCCTCCTGAAGGCAGTAGTGTAACCCAAATGAGTCTGTGTAGCTCAAAGGACAAGAAAGAAATAGTTTCAGCTGCAAAATGTCCAAGCATATGAACTGAGCATGTCTGCAATTATGAGTCATGTGATCTGTCTTGAACTGCCAGTGACAGTATGTG